CAGCCATGAACTTGGCTGTTCAAGTATCTCCATGAGATGCTGTCTTCAGTCCTTTGACTGGATCCCAAATGGTGCACCTGGACCATATGGGAGTTCTAGTTTTGGATTTTCGAGAAACCTCCAAACTGATTTCCATATTGATAGACAACCTTACACTGACCCTAGCAGGACATAAATGTTCCTCTTTCCCTACGGCATACCTGCGTTCGTTGTCATTCAGTAATGGCAGACATTCTGAATGGGATGAAATAGAGTCTCAAAGCAGTTTGGCTGTTCCCTGCAGGGCTAAGAATGTTGAACTCAGGCCTAGAGAGATGACTCAGAGGTTAAGAGCAGATGGGAGAGACAGAACCCGGTGGTCAGGGATGGAGCCGAGCTTCCACTTGACCTGGCCCCCAGAATCCTCCAGTGGAGGCTTCATTTGCTTATTGCCTAGACTCAGAAACACTCCACTTGTGCTCAGCGCAACCCCCACTCCCAGGACAGCAGCAGTGCACCAGGAATCTCTTACACTGTTGGCTGCTGCTGCTCATCGCTCTGTGCTAGATGGACTCCGCTGAGATGAAGGTTCTTTCCCTCTGGCCCAGGCTGTGGTGAGGAGCATGTCTGGCCACAAGGCTGGCTCATCTGGGGCCTTTCTACTATGGTCCACTCCTTCTACCTGCAGTTGAAGAACTGGAAGTTCTTCATGCCAGTTTGCATCTCTGCAAGCTTGTACCAACTGACACTACTCCAATAGCAAGCACAGGCTCTCAGAAACAAGGCCTTCAGCCTCCAACATCATCTGGCTCATACAATGCTGTTTGCTTCACAGCAGAAGCACAGTTGCATCCCTGGGCATGGGAAGGCATGAGACCTCCTGAACTGAAGAATCGACATGCAAGTACCCAGCGACTCCTCAACAGGAGTTCCTTCCCTCATGATTTGTCCCCAATTTTCAGGAGCAGCAACTATAGAATCTAGGGATGACAAGTGACCGGTGCCTATCAATAGGAAGGGTTTTGGCACAGTAAGGGGGTCTGTGGGGAAAATCGTGACCCCAACCCTGCCACCAATGAACTAATTATTAATTGGCAAATTGTAGAGTAGGTCCTGTCTCATTTCACCAAATGGAGTTATTTTTGTGCTATCTGGCAGATTGTTGCAAGGATTAAAATGGAGCTATAGATTCACAAGCTCTGTGTGTGTGTGTGTGTGCATGCGTGCATGCATGTGTTTGTTGTGTGTTTGTGTATGTGCACATGCAATGTGCATGTGTGTTGTGCATCTCAATATCAAGGCCAGAGGTCAACCTTAAGTTTTGTCCTCCAGGAACAGTCCACCTTGTTTGTTTGAAGCAGAGTCTCTCATTGAGACCTGGGAATTGCAAATTAGGCTAGTCCCACTACCAGCAAACCCCAGAGGTCTCTGTCTCTGCCTCCCAGTGCTGGATTATAAATGTGTGCCGCTGCACCCAGCTTCGTATGTGGGTTCAGGTCTTCTTGCTTGCACTGCAAGTACCTGGGCTCGCTCCTCAGTTCCCTTTATAATACCTTTGAAGAGTTTTAGAAATATAAAGCTTCCTCTAAGAAAAGTCCAGGGCATTAGGATTCAAGCCCTCGTTTGCCATCTGCTCATCTATGTGGGGGAGAACAGAATACTGAAGAAAGCATCTGAAGAAGACACAGGTCTTCACCCTGCCAGTCAGCCTGTGTGACAAAGGTTAGCGAGAGCCTCAGCCCTGGGAAAGCCTTAAGTAACTATAGCAGCCTCCTTGTGACTCACTGAGCTCAGTTTGACTGGATCGCGGATCGTGGCCCAGCTCAGTGCCCCCCCCCTGCTGGCAAAACTGGATTCGTTCACATAGAGCTTCTGGCGCAGACCAAAGAACCTAAACACCAGCAGAGCTTACTTCCCTCTCCCTGCTGTCCCTCTCAACAAAGACCAAAGCCTGCCCCAAGCTGTTCACACAGCTTCACATCCTCTCACCACCCATCCCTGGCAGCTGAAACCTTTGCTTAGCCGAGCTAAGCAAATGACCGGCCTCAGCCACATCCAAACTGCTGCTGCTTTTGTAAATAATTAAGAACAAAACAACTAAATCCACAGCCATCCTTGTTTGTAGATTGTGCGTGGCTGATTTGTGCTGCTGCGGCAAAGGTGAACAGGTGCTTCAGGTGTGGTGTGGTACCGTGTGGTGCCGTGTGGTGCTGTGTAGTGTGTGGTGCAGCGCGGTGTGGTGTGGCCTGCAAAGTACAAGATTCTGCCATCTAGCTCTGTGCACAGAATGCTTACCTGCGGGCCGGGGGTGTAGACCAGTAATAGACTGATTACATGGCATGTCTAAGGCCCTAGGAATAATATTACTCATACACACACACACAATCATGCATTCACACATATACACACATCAGTTTTATCTGCTTTTTTTCAAAGGTATTTCTTTTATTGAAAATATTTTTTCATATATTGCATTCTGATTATTGTTTTCCCTCCCTCAACTCCTCCCAGCTCCTGCCTACCTCCCTGCCCATCCTGATCCACACTCTTTCTCTCTCCTTAGAAAACAAACAATCATCTAAGGAATAATAATAAACTAAGAGAAAACAAAAACAAATCAGAATAGGACAAAGCAAACAGGAATAAAAAGAGCCAAAGAAAAAGCATAAGGAACATAGAACACATTATAGACACAGACATACACACACATTTGCATACCCAGGAATCCTATAAAACATAAAACTGGAAGATATATATATATACATATATATATATATATATATATATCTTCACACACACACACACACACAAAGGACCTGTAAAGTTTAAAACAAATCCCTGACACAGCATTATGAGACAAAGAACCTCCAAAGATGCCACTGAGTTCATTTTCTGTTGGCCATCTACTTCTGGGGATGGGGCCAGTGAGACTTCCTGGGAGAAAATTAAGTTCCTTTGCCAATGGCTATCAAATGGAGCTTGCTCCTGGGCTAGGGACGGGATCATGTGTCTACTTCTCTCGGCTCTAGGACCCCATCTGGTGTAGGCCCGCAAGGCCCTGTGCCAGCTGCCTCACTCTGAGTGGATCCTGCTGTGTTTAAAAGGCCTCCTTACCTTGGTGTCCTCCATCCCTTCTGGCCCTTTCACTTTTCTACCTCTTCTTCTGCAGAGTCCCCTGAGCCCGGAGGGGATTTGATGTGCCCGTTTCTTGTGACACAAAGCTTTAGTGTCGGCACTTTCTACCAGTGTTACTGAGGCAAATTTGTTTTACTCAAGCAGGTCTTATTCTTCTTTTATTGAAGAAATGAATCACTGGTTTATATTTTGGTGTCTAAGGGCAATGGAAACAACCCTTAAGTATTATGAAAATAACCCTTAATTTATATTTTAGCCTCTAAGAACAATGACTGTACAATCTCCCCATTTGTAGGAGAATGTATCGTTTTTTTTTTTTCAGGACAAGGGACTGGAAAGATGGCTCAGTGGTTAACAGTGCTTGTTGCTCTCCTAAAGGGCCAAGTCAGCACCCACACTGAGAGGTTCACAACCACCTGTGATTCCAGATCCAGAGACCCAACTCATGCTTCTGGCCTCCAAGGGCATCCATTCACACAAGTGGCATACATTCACAAAAGCATACATACATGCACATATAAATAAATTAAGTAAATAAATGTTTTTTTCAGTTCAAGCATAAAATTTTGCTGAAAATATGGAGCAAAGTTCATGTTGGACAACACTCCATGAAAATGCAATCAGCCAGATATAAGTAATGGAAATTTTTAGAGTAAACTACTGAATTTCCTCAATAATGGAATAAACATAGAAGAAAGGGTAGAATAGTGAGTTCTGGAAAGTGGAAGGGATGGAAAGGATATTGGAGCAAATACATCATTCAGACAAACCCAGACACTTGGAAACAGCTCAAATGTTTGAGCGCAGGTGAAGGCTTAGATACTGTGGTATTATTTCTACTTCTTTACTTATGGTAATGGCATTGCAAGAATTACCTATCTATCTATCTGTCTATCTATCTGTGATCTATTTATATATTGTGGAATATTCCTTTATACAGTGTGAGTATATGTCATGGTGATTGGTTAAATATAGAAGCTGACTGGCCAATAGCTGGACAGGTAGAAGTTAGGTGGGGCTTGCAGATAAAAAGGGAGAGAAAAGAAGGAGAGGAGTTGCTGTGAGCTTGGTTAACATGTGATCTCATTGGGCCTTTGTGAACTGCAAGCTGTAAACTCACACTGCAGTTGCCAGAAATAAGAAACCAACATCAGGGATCATTTCCAGTGTATACATATGCTTCGAGATAGCTTAGAAGCAACAGTCAATGCACCAGTAAAGGAGTTGCTAATGATGCTTGTAGAATGTATAGGTGCCTGGAAGGAGCAAGGGACAGGTGTCTCCATCTCCATGACTATGGCCTCTCAACTACAACCCAAGGCTCCTGCTGAGTCTGGAAAAGCTCTGAGTACCAGGACATTCCTTCAGCTTAATCTGTAGTAAATTCGTTATTACCATTATGCTCAGCAAGGCAAAAACAAAAACAAAAACAAATCTGTAAGAAAATAGATTGATTTAAAGAGGACCAGGCATGTCTTTAATCCCAGCTCCCAGAAAGCCAGACAGATCTCTGTGGGTTTGAAGCCAGCCAAAGCTACACTGTGAGACCCTGTCTCAATTAAAAGTAAAATACAATGGAACAATAAATAAATAAATAAATAAAAATATTTGGGTAGACAAAATTTCACCTCATCTGTCAGTCACCACCAGCAATAAAAAGAATCAAGTTGAACCTCACCTCATGGGCTGCCTCCCTTCAAATTCTTGAGTCTCGTTTTTGGAGGAGGGGAATGCCGTTAGAGAGAAAGGGCGGAAAATGTGCTGTCTATACTCTGAGAAAGGAGAAGGGAGGAACAGAACAGGCTAGTGTTGGTGAGACTCGGGAATCAGTGGTCCACGTAAGCTGTGTGTGCCAAGCCTGTGACATCTTCTCTGCTCCCCCACAGAATGACATCACTCCCTTACATGTCGCCTCGAAACGAGGGAACGCGAATATGGTGAAGCTGCTGCTCGACCGGGGTGCGAAGATCGATGCCAAGACCAGGGTAAGCATCCTGCATGGTGCAGGCCGGTGTGTCGCTTCCAGAGGTAGAAGTCCTCACCTGGTTCCCGCGCCGTGGGGAAATGCTGTATTCTTTATGTTTGATTTGTCGTGAAATGTGAATGTGATTCCTGTTTCATATAATGTCAGTGTGTGTTCAAATGGCCTCTGGCTTTAACTGAAGAGCAAGGGCCCAAGTCTCTTGGTTTCCCTGAGTTAAATCTTCTAGAATTACTTGACACTCAAAGTTGAACTATTGGGTCAGTTTGATGTGAAATCTGATAGCTTTTAGGCTGAAACTTTTATTTGCACTTCTGAGGGAATTTAGATTCTGTGGGAATCTAAAATGGTATAGCATGGATTTCTCTCAAGGGATTAAAACAGGATGGCCACTTCTAGGTATACAGTGAGAGGGATTAAAAGGCATTTCTATCCTTGTGTTTGCTGAACTAGGTTTGTAATTTTTTTGAAATCTAGAGGTAACCCAAATGTTATTGGATAGACAAAGGTGGCTCAGTCAGGAAAACATAAGGACCCAAGTTCAGATCCCCAGCACCCAAACCTGAGCCTGGTGTCACATGCCTGCAATCCTCATGCTGTGGAGATAGAGACAGGGGCCTCCTGGGAGTTTGCTGCTCAGCCAGTCAAGACAAATTGATAATCTTTAGGTTCAATGAGAAATCTTGTCTCATAAAATAAGGTTGAGAGTGACTGTTGGAGACACAGTATCAGCCTTTGACCTCCATAAACAAGTATATATTACATAGGTACACACACACACACACACACATAGAGAGAGAGAGAGGAGAGAGAGAGAGAGAGAGAGAGAGAGAGAGAGAGAGAGAGAGAGAGAGCAATTAACTACAACTAGATGAACCTTAAGGCATAAACATTGAGTAAAATAAACCAGTTACTAAAGGACAAATACATCTGATTCTAATGGACTGGCCATGTAGCTCCATGCTGAAGTGTGGCCTTGGCCTGCATATACCATAGAAAGAGAAACTTAAGTGGCAGTTGCCAGGGCAAAAAGGGAAACGAAGTGTTGCTTGGGAATGGAATGTCAGATGAAGAAAAAAAATTAAGACAACAAAAGAGCCAGTGACCCATCAGACCACAACAATGCAAATACAGTTTTTAAAACAGTTTTAAGGATGGCTTTGAGGGTGTAATGTATTTATCTTATCACAGCTAAAAGTTTTTATTAAAATGTGTGTATATGTCTAGATGGATGCATATGATTTGTATTGTTTTTGTGGGAATGGGAGTTGTGGTGGAGACAGCCCGGCCCGTGTGTATGCAATCATGTGCTGTTTATGGGGTATAACACACTCTGTGTTTACCTGTCAGCTTAGGCCGTGACTTAGGTAACTAATCAACCTTTCTCTTTAAACTTTTGTCATCTAAAAAATTCATTAAAAGAATGAGTCAGGCGTTGGTGGTACATGCCTTAATCCCAGCACAAGGGAGGCAGAGGTAGGCAGATCTTTGTGAGTTCAAGACCAGCCTGGTCTACAAAGCAAGTTACACAGAGAACTAAATACCCACAGTGACCAAGATGTTATCAACTGCACCAACCTGACATAGGCCAGAAATCCCATTACTGAGAGCGGGAAGTGGGCAGGAACTCCCACCCCCTAACCAAGAAGCTATCTCCAGTTGCCATCTGCTTGCAAAGGAAAGATAGGTTTTCTCCAAAGGAGTCTCACTGAGCATATAAACCACATTAAGGCAGACCCCGTGACAGCCGTCAATGGCCAACACAGACAGAAGGTCTCAATGGCACTTTGTAGGCCTTCTGTCTGTTATCACTTTGTGCAGGCATTTTCTGTCTTATGGTCTTCTGTTTGCTTATTATGGTTTCCGATTCTGTGTTTCTATGGGTTTGGGTTTGTGTTTCTCATGCTTTCTCTTTGCTATTTTTCTTTGTTTTAGTTTTATTATTCTTATCTATTTGTTTGCCTGTTTGTTTTCTTTTTTCACCAGCACTTTTTTTTATTTCAGTTAGAAACAAGCTTGCTTCACATGTCAATCCCAGCTCCCTCTCCCTCCCCTCCTCTCCTGCCCCCCATCAGCCCTCCCCTAACTCCTCCCCCAATCCCCACTCCACTCTCCAAGGAGGGTGAGGTCCTTCATGGAAGGTCTCGAAAGTCTGTCATATCATCCAGGGCAGGGCCTAGGTCCTCCCCATGTGTCCACGTGGAATGGGCTCCCAAAGTCCATCTGGATGACAGGGATAAATGCTTATCTATTGCCTGAGGCCCCAAAGAATAACAAGGCCTCCTCACTGATACCCACCTTTAGGGGGTCTGGATCAGTCCCATGTTGGCCTCTCAGCTATCAGTCTGGGGTCCATGAGCTCCCCCTTGTTCAGGTCAGCTGTTTCTGTGGGTTTCACCCACCCAGTCTTAACCCCTTTGCCTGTTTGTTTTTCTAGAGTGAGAAAGAAGGCCCGGAATTGGATGGGTGAGGAGGTAGGGAGGATCTGGGAGGAGTTGGAGGAAGGAAAACCATGAAAAGAATCTATTGTATGGGGAAAAAAAAGAACTGACCAAAGAAAGTAAAAGTCTTAGCTTTAAAAAAAATAAATCACATACAAATACTTCTCTTTTTCCACGTTTCACGTGTTTATTGCAAGATCTGGACCAGAGACAGTCTAATAAAGCAGTCTCATTTGTCTACAGGCTTCCTACTTTGTCATCCTATCCTAGGCCCCACTTACAAGAATCCTAATCTCCATGTATCTAAACCCAGCCTGGCAGACTAACTGTATTCCTGAAGTGCTTTGATCTACTACTTTACTTACTATTAGTGACATTTATTCACTCAAATTATAAGTGAGCACTGAATGTCTGCTCAACTCAGAGAAGCGGTGAGAGAGAAAAATAGACAATGCTCTTCCAAAAACCGGGAGGCCACGGGCTCCTTTGTTTTCTATACTGTGTTCCTAATCCAGCCCAGCCTGGGTGTTTAGTAGACTGACGTATTGACTGATGAACCTGGAAGGAATAACTGTTCCCTATCAGAAATAATCTTACTAGAGAGGGAGAAATGAAGACTCGTAAAGGGCGCCCCCTGCAGGACCATCTCAGTAGAGAGCAATTGCATTTCTACATTTCAATAAGAAATTGTCAGTATGTAAAGAAAGCTAGAGCCACTGCTGTCAACCACAGTTCCTCTGCCAAGCAAGAGCAGGGGGAAAGAAGTTGCAGAGAACAAGGGAGGGGGATTGATTGCTCTTGCCATTTGGTCCCAAGGAGGTGCAGCATCACTTGTGAATACCAGGAATATGTGTGGGGGGAAATGAATGCAGGAGAGACACTTGGAAGAGAAACGTGAATGTGCCTGGCCATCCTCTGGGACTTTAGTTGATTGAAGATGACCTTATTTCTCTCTCCTTTGATGCAGTCTTCGCTCACAAAAAGAATAAATTATTTTGCATTTTGCATCATGTACAAACCCATAGGGAGTTCAGACAGAGAGGCAATCAGTTTTCCCATCGCTGTGGCCAAATACCAGACAAGAAGCAGCTACACGGAGGAAGAGTTCATTTACGTTTGAGGGGACTCAACCTCAAGCTCCCTATCAAGGCAGGGACAGCATGACCGTGGTGGCTCCATTGTGTAAGGGGTGTGTGCAACCGGGACGTCACACCTCTTCCAATCTTGAAAGCACAGGAAGCTGCGTGTGGGCAGGAAGTAGTACAGTACCCCAAAACTTCAATACCTCTCCCGGTGACCCACTTCCTTCAGTGAGGCTCCTCCTCCTAAAGGTTCCCCCACCTTTCCAAACAGCACCACTAGCTGGGGACCAAGTATTGGAACACATGAGCCCCTAGGGACATTACACATTCAAACTGCAATGCAGGATGCATCGTGTCACATCACAGGGAGGACCTGGAGACAAACATCAGAGCTCTGATGAACATCAGCAACTGAACCATTTGGCATGGGGACAGTGTGTTAGGCAGCTTCTTTCTATGCCCCTGGCCTTCCGACTTACTGTCGATAAAGGAAAATCCCCTCCTTACAACTATTCAGTGTTAACTTAGATGTACATGCCTACAGTTCTGTTGAGAGGACACGTGGATATATAGGAGGAGCCAGAGCAATGGTTCTCAACCTTCCTAACGCTGCGACCCTTTAATTCAGTTCCTCACGTTGTGGTGACCCCCAACCATAAAATTATCTCATTGCTACTTCATAACTGTAATTTTGCCACTGTAATTTACATGTAATTTACATCGTAATGAAAATATCTGCTATGCAGGAGATCTGACTTGTGACCCCCAAAGGGGTCGCAACCCACTGGTTAAAAATAACTGAACTAGAGGGATCAGAATAGGAAGACCTGTCTTACTTTCCACTATTGAGTGGGTTTGGGGATAACTCTAGTTCTGTTCAAACCGAATTCCTCACCCAAGAATGGAAGAAAGTGAAGTCTACTCCCAACACCTGTGAGCTGCATGACGTTCTCTGCATCATTGCTTCCTGATGGTGACTTTCCTACACCCTCCTTTCCTTCCCAGTACAGACAGTAAACTTCCTCCTCATCTCACACACTTCTCAGCAAGAAGGGCTGTGGATATTGTAACTAATACTTAGGGCTGCAGGTGTTGACTCAGCGGGTAGAGTATGTATCACACAAGTGTGAGGACCAGAGTTCAGATCCCCAGTCCCCGTGTAAATTCCAGGTGGACATAGCAGCTCACCTGTCACATCAGAACATGATGGCAGAGGCCGGGAACCTTAGGGCATGCTAGCTAACTATACTCACTGGAGTGGTGAACTCTGGGTTCAACTGAGAAACCTTGCCTCAATGCATAAGATGAAGAGTGATCTAAGAATACACTCAGCGTCAACCTCTCCCTCCACAATATTACATACACATGTATCTCCATACATGTGAGCCCCCTACCGACCACGCAATGAGGGCTGCCTTATAACTCAATGATAGTACTGTTGCCCAGCATATGGAAGGCTCTGGATTCAAACCCCAGCACTG